AGTACGACATAATAATAAATTTAAATTAACTACTCCATGTAGTATAATAGAAAGTTCAAACATGGAAAACTACTCAGAAATTTACTTGTAATTGTAAATTTCTCTAGAAATTTCACGAGATTTCATATTAAGAAACAAACGTAGAACGAACTGTAACTCGTAATTAAACAAAAGCTTAGACGAGGTGTGCCGAAAGAGAAATAATAATCGTCTATGCTTTGTGTTTTTTTTTTCTATAGATCGCCCAACGAACTCGCATCGCTTCTGTTACGTGGTTTCTGGTGCTCGAAAATATAATGTTACGCGCTGGGGTTCGGAATAAATAAAAATTCTACCGAATTACAAGTTAAGACTGTATTAGCACTTAGAATACTTACAACACTCAACAAAAACTTTATAATTCTCAATTCAATTCTTTCGCTTCACTTCGGGTGATCCGTTCGCTGTTTCGCTTCGAGTAGTTCCGATAACTAACTAACTGCGTGCCATCTCTGCAACGCTTTTATAGCCGATACCACATCCCTAGAATTATCGAGAATATTCCACACATTTCGAGTATTGTGTTTCCGCTATCTGACAATAGATGACGTTGTATTTTTCGATCGTTCTAGACGTTACTCGATCCTTTGATATTCGTTCGGCGATAGATGGCATTACTCTTACCGGTGTAACAATAATATCACCACCGTCACCCACCTTGAAACATGAGATCTGCTGCCCTGCCACACCAGAACGCATGAACACACCATTGCAGAAAAAGGCGGGATGGTGCTCACATTATCAACTATCTACCACCAGTAAATTCTTAGTAAAAGTACACTGCTAAAAGACAAACCGCTCATTCTCAAAGCGCTGTCTGATCAGATAATGAAAAACCGTAGTATTTTCAACTGCTGAGTCCAACGTGAACAAATTAATTAACCACGTATGTACTTATATAACATATTTTAACGAATTCAAATTAAAGATACGATTTAAATATGCGATTATCAACCTAAGTTAGTATTGCTAAGACCATATCCAATTTTGCCTGATTAATACTAACAGGCATTTTGAAAATGTTCCATTCTTTCTATATACGAGTATTATTTGAGTTTCATATACATTTTTTGTTCCACCAAGAAGTTTTAGCTAGCCCCTCTGCGGCTGAGACGGCTATACATGATGGCTTTAATATGATACGCAGATTTTCGTGTTTTTATCTTTGGACACATTTATGTCTCAACTCGATATTGCAGATCCTTCCCAGAACGTTTCAGCTTCCTTATTTTTGTAAAATAGCCCCGAACCAGGCGCTGAAAATAATGGCTACGTGACAGTGACAAATTGGAGGAATAATATAAGATTACCTCAATCTTCGTAGCGTATTTTCTAGTTTAACCAACTATGGGCAAAGTTTTATGACCAGTGAAAATGTGAATGTACTAAATGTTAGTTTTGTTTATTTCTACAGTAGACGAGCAAAGGAGCTTATTACTCAATTTTTAGTGGACATCGGAGCAATTAGACGCTAATTTAAATGAATATCCAATGGTATAGTATTACGAATGCCCCATCCTTCTAACTGAAATACGGCAGAAATGAGCAGGATGGTGGTACCAATAGGAGCGAGCCCGTAATACACCTTAACACCAACTGCAATATTAAATTGTACAATACAATATTAAATTGTAATTGTTGCTGGTTTTTTTTTCCTACCTATGCTGATAGCCTTAATAGGCTATATCAGCGTTACCCTAGCGTGTGGGTGAGCTCTCGGGGCTCAAACTAGGAGGTGTTGCCAACACTGGCCCTAGCAAGAGCAGTGCTTCGCAGAAGCTAACACCGGACCAGAAAAGCGACCCACTGAGAAGACCCGGTGAGAAAGTAGGTAGGCAGCGGCTTGGTTCTGCCCCTGGCATTGCTGAAGTCCATGGGCGACGGTAACCACTCACCATCAGGTGGGCCGTATGCTCGTCTGCCTACAAGGGCAATAAAAAAAAAAAAAAAAACTCTGTGGGCTGTGTCTGTGGGTTTGCTGGTTTATTTTTTATTCCAAGATATCATGCGTTGATCGTGGAAGTCATTCGTGAATACGTAACTCATTCGAAAAATTCTAACGTGCCTGCGGGATTTGAACATTCTATACATTAGGCCACGACAACTTCAATCAATTAACCTTGATAAGTTGTTGAGTTGTTGTGATTGTTAAGATATATCACAGTTTGTCATACTACTACAATACAATTCAAACCAGATCAATGGTACATAAATCTAAGCTAAAACGAATTCAAAAATCACCGTACCTTTGATGTTACGTAACGCTTTCAACACACGAAAGTTAGTTTCTCATCAATCATCAGGATCTTGGGTCCCAGGAGCACGTCAGAACTGTTGACATAGGTCTCCGAAACTTAACAGGTGAAGCAACATCAAGTATTTTCGTTTGAATAATCGTGAAAAGATTTGTTTAAAGCTAAGAAATATATTTTGTGTTCTTAATTTCTATATTTATTTTAATCCATAGTTTGGTGGACGAGCTCACGGCCCACCTGATGTTAAGCGGTTACCGGAGCCCATAGACATCTACAACCACCACCCACCTTCAGATATAAGTTCTAAGGTCTCAAGTATAGTTACAACGGCAGCCCCACCCTTCAAACCGAAACCCATTACTGCTTCACGGCAGAAATAGGCATGGTGGTGGTACCTACCCGTGCGGACTGACAAGAGGTCCTACCACCAGTAATTACGCAAATTATAATTTTGCGGGTTTGATTTTTATTACACGATGTTATTCCTTCACCGTGGAAGTCAATCGTGAACAATTGCTGAGTACGTATTTCATTAGAAAAATTGGTACCCGCCTGAGATTCGAACATCGGTGCATCGCCTCAACACGTATGCACAAGACGTCTTATCCATTAGGCCACGACGACTTTTTGTTCTAAGTTCTAAGGCTTCAATATAATACTTGAGTTACGATTCGATTTTTAAAATATAATCAACACAATTAATAAACACACACACATTCCCGGATAAAAACAAATAATACTTTGTACATGGAGTACCAGTATGATAATTCAATGGTTCGATGTAGGAGGAACATATCTGAGTCAACAATAAATTTCTAACAACACTCCCCCAGGCAAGGGGTCGTAAATCAATTTTATCTCATAGAAACCGGACGTTCAGCCTTGTACTATAGTGACCACACTTTGTGTGTACATCTGTGGCGGGTAGCCATCATACAACACAAGATATCTGACAGATGCCTGAATCTCGCTTACGACATTTTCAAGATAAGCTTATATACAAGTTACTTTACGTTATTACTGGCGGTAAGACCTCTTGTGAGTCCGCACGGATAGGTACCACCACCTTGCCTATTTCTGCCGTGAAGCGGTGATGCGTTTCGGTTTGAAGGGTGGGGCAGCCGTTGTAACTATATTGAGACCTTAGAACTTATATCTCAAGGTGTGTGGCGCATTTACGTTGTAGATGTCTATGGGCTCCAGTAACCACTTAACACCAGGTGGGCTGTGAACTCGTCCGCCCATCTAAGCAATGAAAAAAAAGTTCCAAACAACAACATCGGGGCCGTCGGTCTACCAAGTAATATCACCCGCTCGATGGAAGATCTTCTCTCCGTCGTATACTTACAAATATATTGTGGAAAGTTCGCCAGCTGCTTGATTATTACATTAGTACTTTTTTATATACGAACAACAATATCTTATGATAACGTTTTGTGTGTGGTTGGGAATATAGCGATATTGGCAATTCATAGCTTCAATGGAAAATTCATAGGAAAATATTAACATATATATTTGTTTTTATTTCAGTATTTGCCCCCTTGTCCTAATCATTTCTGAAGGGAAGCAATAACACGATCTTTCCCAAACGTTCATTGAGATTTCAACCTTATGCTACACTTATTTAGTGTGATTGTATTATTTACTCAATGTCCACAAAATGTATTTATTTTTTATATTAAATTTTGCTCAGAAAAATACTCAGAGAAAATATAGGAAATCTTTACGATAAAACAATTTATTTAACTTAATAAAATAGGGTCACGTAATTTAATGACTAAATTTTACCCATAAAAATGCTTAGATAAAGAAAATATAGAGAAGTCGAAGTCGAAGAAGAATTTCGAAGTCGTCGTGGCCTAACGGATAAGACGTCCGGTGCATTCGTATTGAGCGATGCACCTGTGTTCGAATCCCGCAGGCGGGTACCAATTTTTCTAATGAAATACGTACTCAACAAATGTTCACGATTGATTTCCACGGTGAAGGAATAACATCGTGTAATAAAAATGAAACCCGCAAAATTATAATTTGCGTAATTACTGGTGGTAGGACCTCTTGTGAGTCCGCACGGGTAGGTACCACCACCCTGCCTATTTCTGCCGTGAAGCAGTAATGCGTTTCGGTTTGAAGGGTGGGGCAGCCGTTGTAACTATAATTGAGACCCTTAGAACTTATATCTCAAGATGGGTGGCGCATTTACGTTGTAGATGTCTATGGGCTCCAGTAACCACTTAACACCAGGTGGGCTGTGAGCTCGTCCGCCCATCTAAGCAAAAAAAAAAAAAAAAAAAAAAAAAAAAAGATACTTTACGATAAAACAATTTATGTAACTTGATAACATAAGGGCGCGTAACTTAATGACGCGCTGAAAACTACCTTTTTTATTTCCAAAGGTCCTAAAAGTTCAATAGATTCGCTATTTAACCTTACTAGAATCATTTGCCAATCTATTTGCCTATAAGCAACAGGACTACAATATTTTCTCATTAAGCTCATTAAGGTTCGTTTACCTAAACAATGTCACGGTGTTTGAGTGTCCTCGATATAAATTTTCCAATTTTAAACCTTATGTTTTCGAGTTTGGATGTGATAAAATTACTGTTTTTACAATTTTTAAGAGCCGTATGTAACACATGCTCCACCTGGGATTTCCTGGAGAGAGAAATGTTCGCCAATGAAAAAACGATAATTAAAAAAGCTCACCTAGCATCCTAATGATAGCCTTTCTAGACTTAGCCTGTCGCGTCTCGCCGTGAACATGTCCATTCAGCAATCCAAGCTTTGTCTTCTCAGTCAGCCTGGTGGATCTAAAACAAAACATATGCCACAGTTGGAAGGTAGAACTGATTATTTTTAAAATATTTATATCTCTATCTTAATGAATAAAAGTTTAAAAAAGTTTTAATCTAATTAACATCCCAAACCAAAAAGTATTAGATTTAGACGAAGATTTTATACTGTGGGTTTCTTCTTCATTTAGTTATAATTTATATTATCCTAAAGAACAGTACAAAAGCCGATTTCTAAGTATGACTATGTCTAATTTCACAAACTCATTAGAGTACTCAACTTTTTTCGTTTATAGGACCGGTGACATGACCGTATTTAGGATGTATTTAGAGCAAAACTTCGAGAGAAAATGTTCTACAGAACAGAATTAATCGTATATTAAGATTCCAGAATTTTTTAGCCCTTGTCAAAAGGGATTTCTGCGATATTTGTAAGTCTGGTTATGAATTTAACATAAATTCGGTTCAATTCTATTGGAATTGGTCACCGTGAGTGAGCACACGCATACTACTGCTGCTACTACTACTACTACTGCTTTCCGACCCGTAACCAATGATTGGTTTTCATCAAGAATATGTTTCATTTGCAAACAGAGCAACAGTGAAATTTACAATTACTTTGCACCCTATAAACACAATTTATTTTTAGAACACCGCTTGTCACTTAGCAGCAGATTATATTCTTACAGGATCACGAGCAAATCATTGATAACGGTGTTTGCCGGTCCGTCGCGACTAAAGCTGGTCCGTAAATCTTGTCACTACATAGCATGAGGCATGCTGACGTTGATAAATCGCCGGTATCCGTGCAATTCTACTATACAAACTCACACTATCGCAGCAAGGAATCAGCGCTATGGTGTTTCTGGAAATACCTTCATGCTATTTTTGTGGGAATGATATGTGCGCGCGCAGAGAGCGCTTTCTACGTACAGGTAGACAGATTTATTAGAATTACGCGGCTGATCCCAATTTGATCAGAGCGTGAACTAGTTCTTGTGTTAGACTGCCTTGCGATTAAGGTTACCTTTGGCGGTGTATATATGCCCTAAAATTTATATAGGTATTCGATTTCGTGTTTTTTTTTTTTTTTATGATTGAAGGATTACTGGTGGCCCGGAGGCCTTTCCAGTTTCACCAGGACAGGTGGGCGAGCAAAGGCTCAGCCAGGAGGGGTGGGATTTGCTAACAGCTACCCGAGCGCCTCCGAAGGAGACCTAACAACTCAAGAGTAGCTGCTTCGCGAATGAATCTACTACCGGATCGGAATCGCGACCCGCTGAGAAGATCCGGCGAGAAACTCAGCGAGCTGATTCATGGGTTAGGTTGCACGGCGAACTCTTTGTCGAGTTCGACGAGTACGGTTACCGAGGTCCCTAAGCCTGCTCCTAGAGCTGAAGGCGTCTAGTGCAAATGTTATTGGATCTGATGGATCCGTAAGGATGTGTCTAGGGCGTCGACGGTGACTGGCTCCTGCATGATCAGGATTCGGGGAGTAGTCAGCGGCGGCTACGATAAGGCGATTATCATGACGCATAGCCTTATCGAAGTACCGTTCCGACGCTGACTTCATGTATTTCTGTATAGATTCGAGGCCCAGGTCGTCGTGTAGGTCAACGTTCCTCACGAACCACGGAGCTCCGACGGCTAACCTGCAAAAGCGGGATTGTAGAGATTGAAGGGTGTCTATGTGCGTGCGGGCCGCGTGAGCGAACACCATACTCGCGTAAGTCATGACGGGCCTTATGCAAGTTTTGTAAAGTGTCACCTTGTTCCGAAGG